TCAGGGCTCAGTTCTAGGTCCACGATTGTTTTTGGCATTCATCAATGACCTTGCAAGGAATGTCGCTTCAAAGTTCCTACAGTTTGCTGACAATATCAAGGTATGGCGCCGGATTCAGGCGGAGGCCAGTCAGAATTTATTTCAGTGTGATGCAGCTACGATACATGATTTGTCAACCCGAAATCTGTTACAGTACAACATGGACACGTGCAAGGTACTCTCCACACAACACCAAAGCACCTATTCCTACAACCTAGGAACGCAAGTACTGCAGTGGTCATCCGTCGAACACAACTTTGGCATTCTTGTCTATGAGAACTTGGGTTGTTCCAAGCAACCCGCAAAGGCCTCGAAAACTGGTAATCAACACGTCGGCTTGCTACGATGGGCGTTCGGATAACTAGGCACCACTATTTTCAGCCGGATGCTGAATGCTTATGTTTGTCCCCATGTCAAATACTCAATCCGAGCCAGGCAACCATGACTATAGCACGACCTTACGGCACTGGATCAACCTCAACGTCGGACTTCTAAATACATCATTGTAATACGCCACCTTTCGTACGAGCACAGGCTGGAAGGTTTGGGAGTATTCAGCTCACGGTACAGCTGACTACGAGACCACTTGAGAATGACGCTTTTGATTTTACACAATCCAAATAATGTGTGCCACTCTTTACTGCAACTCAGCAGTAAAATCAAACTTGGACGCCACTCCTTGAAACTAGTAGAAAAGTACAGCCGCCTGGTGTGCCGTTGAAACTTCCCTTCCGTTCATGTATGTCAAACATGGTACGCTCTCCCCGAATCTGTTGTTTCAGCACCCACGCTAGCCATAGTTATAAGTCGGTTGAATGAGGCACTCCGCCACTTACAATTTGTTACTTGACACTACTCTCCATCGTACTCCCAGGAAATACTTTGGATTTACCTTTTTTCACCTACTGAAGCTCTGGAAACCCTTGGGTGCAGGGCAACTGAATCAAAAACGATAAGTCTATTATTTTTACTGTAAAACTACTAACCGCTTTTTGCATTAACTTTTTTCGCTAAAGCAGCGGGGCTTGTAAATCAATGCTTATTAACCCGCGAAAAGTCATTGTTCACGTTTCAAAGTACTTGAACATGGAAGTCACTTACGAGGCATTGCGAACCAGACCCGGAAACGTCACTGATCTTGATGCGTAGTCTGGCAACGAAACGTCTACAAAGAAATCAGTCAGGTCGGAGAACAGCTCAACATACACCCACAGAGTTTAATTGCCTAAACGACCGAAATCGCTAAATCCAATGACTGGGAACATGATGAAGTGCGTACAGCTCTTGAATGCGTGGAGAGCAATCTTAATCCGTTCAGCAATAATGTATTAGGTGTTGCTCGTCCGGAAACCCTTCACTCCACGACTGGTTTCGAACCTTTTGTATCTCATCAAGCTGAAATGGCAAGCATCGAATCCGGGCCATTGGGATGTTAGCTAACACTTCTATCAGTTTGGCCACCGAGCCACGACAGGAACCACTTGTCAGGACAGTTACTGATTAATTGAAAAAGCCATTTTGAGGTACGCTTTTTGTGATTCGATTGAGACGTGCAACCTCATTGTGGACCGTGATTCGCATTTCTGTCAAGTTTAACCGCCTTAAACATTAGGACCATAGCTGAGGCGTGTGGAAAATTGATGTTGCCCGCCGCAAAACAAGGCACTCCACTAAAAGTTTCAACCTTGTTTGATCTCATAGACTGGACATAGCAAGCATCGAATTCGGGACCATGGAGATGTTCGTTTTGACTGCTACACCCCTAAGCCGTCTGGTCACGACGTTTAACACTTGGTACAATGGTTACTGACTGATTGGAGGATCATTATGAGTTACACGTTGTGTGGATGGATTACTACACACAACATCAATGTTAACCGCGATTCCCATTGAAGTGAACCGTGATCTATCGATCACTAGGACCGTAGCTGAAGCAGATACAAATAGGGTATTGCCCTCGAGAAATTACTACACTTCATGACGCGTCTCGACCTTACTTGATTTCATCAGATGGACATAATAGTAAAATAATGTGTCAGCTGTACACCGTAACGACACTCCGCTGCCGTGCGACCACCACCAGTCACACGCGAGCTGAGTACACAGCGATGACGACCACCGCTACGCGGATTCGAACCCGTGCCGCAAGATAGTGATAATCGAACACGGGGCCTGTAGGATTTCAGCCAAACTTCCACTCCCAAGCCACCCAGTCTTGATGGGCGACGGTTGGAACAACGGGGAATGACTGTTTAGGATTGGAGGTCGTAATCCGTTCACAAAACGACAACTTCAAAGTGACACCTCAGATCAAGGTTGCGTATATTTTTCGAACTATCGAGGGTCTGTGCTCACACGGGGACACATCGGATTTTGTCGAATGTTTCACATGGATAGATAGTAGAGGTGACAATTGGTGATTGACAGCATGCTGTTTGGAGCAACCTTGTTAGACGTGAAATTCCACCCGGTATTTGTGATGCGCAATGATGAATAGATTAGGTTTCTTCTGCAGTCCTAGTCCTGTGTATGATTAGTTCTTTCAAGTGGTTTAACTGTCACGTTCATCGAATTTCATGACCACTAATTAACTGGCAGACTCCTGGTGCGATTATGAAGGCGAGACAATTGACAGCTTCCATTCATTGACAGATACACTAAATTTAGTTGGGCACAAAAGCTTTGAGGTCATGAAAACCAGCTTAACGCCTGGCAACTGCGTCTCAAGTATAACAGTCACTGCATCCCAAGCCTCAAGTACAGATAGTATCATAGTTCGCATACGTATGAGTTCCGTTGCTTAGAATCAAGGCTGAAATTGATAATTTTTAACTTCCTAATATTTTGTTATAAGCACAGAACGTTCACTGATTCGGCGCTGTGTTCCATCGATCCAGTCCTTTTTGTATACAACCCAAGCAGTCCTCGAATATGGCTTACATCCATTTGCAGCTTCGTGATGCCTGTTATGGGGGTTATGTTTATGCGGCAGCTCGGTAGACCTACCGGCACCTAGACCACTTTGTGAGCGGGTAGTTGCCAGCGGTATCCAACCAGGGGTGCTGTGTTTTTGTCTCCTTTCTCCTCGTGAGTGGGATGTAAGGAACAGTGACAGCAGTGATATAAGAGTTAAATTCCGCCCAGGACACCTGAACCGTACCAGCCAGCGAAATCTCGTAACACATGTTTGAAATGTTGGTATGCGTGGTTTGATAATTCGCATGCCATCTACTTGGGTGTGACTCAAACGTACTCTGACGAGGTAAAGACAGAACATGACGGAAGAATAGACGAACATGGTTACTGAAATTCAGAGGCGAAGTGTAATTAACACCACCTACAAAAGCGAGTGGCTTAGTAAAACAACTATAAAAACAAGGTACTTGGAGGCAGTGTAGTTAGCGTGGGAGTCCGTGCACTGATGTAACGATACTTATAGCGTACTCTCAAGGAGATTTGAGCCAAAGATACCTGACACTGAGTCGCAAGGAAGATCACTTCGGGCAACCTCCGGGAGGTTGGAATCATCAACTATCAGACACGTGTTAGCCATCTGAGAGAGCACAAAATCTTGCACTTCCTTAAAAATGCTATCAGGACTTCTAGGCACCTGTACAACTGCAAATTAAACCGAAGAAGCGTTCACCACAGCCTATTGAGTTTAAACAGCTTTGTCAACCTACTGAAACAAGTAGGTTACAGCTCACGAATGACAAGCGCAATTATTCGAACAACGGAGTGATCAGAACTTGTGTGCAGCCGGCTAGATGTACTACACCATCCGCGACATCCGTTTCCGTGAACTCAAATGAAATGGGCCTACAAACAGTAGTCCCTCATGCATGTTATGCTTTAGGCTGCTTAGATTGCTAGATGCCATCAGAAGGAATACAGTAGGACGAGCCATGGATCGTGCGCCACCGGGATGAGCTCCGGCAGATCGGAAATGGAGCACCAGGTGGCTACTTGAAAACCCACTAACCGGAGGCCTAGTTCACCAGCTGCTGGGCTGCTCATGAGACCCAAAATCGCATCCTTCTATTTTGACACGTATGCTATCTAAAATACTGACTAAACACAGGCATTACTACGCGCGAGTTTAAAAGTAAACCACACTAGTGATTTGCCTTCCTCCGCGTTAGACAGTACCACGTGAAGCATGAGCATGCGAAATCACTTTCAAGATGAATTCCCAAGTATTCAAAACCATATATACATCGAAGAGACCAAAAAACTAGCGATAATTAGTGGGTAAGGTTTGGCTTTTGACACAAAAGCTTTGACATTTTTAGTGATTATCCTCAGTTTGACATACAGCTGCGCTGATGGTGTGAAAGATCACTCGACCTGACCAAAACTTTGTATCGAAAACGAGTCATCGTTCATTCAACTATTAGTTGCCAAACTCTGCTGAATTCCTAGACAACAGTGACTCGAGCAGAGCAATAGCTCAGTGTTCAAAACGTTATTTTAACTAGTACGAATCTTAAAAGGAATTGAACACAAGGGTGGAACCGGTCGTGTAGTGCAATGTCTTGGGCGGGCAACATGAATAAAATGAAAATTCCAGTCGCATTTTTAGCTGAACGCCAAGGAATAAATTCGGATCGCAATATCCTGAAAAATATTGACCACACTGACCGCGCGCGCATGCAATTCGCTGATTTGGTCGAAAAGCAGCACGAGTGAAAAATTTTCATCCGCATTTGCTTCAGTACAGAGCCGATCGATGACCCGATTCATTGCCAGTTGTACGCATCGCTTGCCTCACGCAGTCAACGCAAGCTAGTGGGCATGGCGCATTAACAGTAACCGACGACGATCACGGCCAATCAGTAAGGACCAAAAGTGGAAGCTGCATTTGACTGCACCTAGAGGGCATCCACCGGATTGGCCGGAAGTGGCGACAAATCACACATAACTAACCTCCCAAATATGGCCAAATGCAAGACAAATTACTAGGGATATAAGTGTGCGCCCAGATGAACACGGGCAATTGCTTTCTCGTGTCGGGACACCTGCCCACACTTTCGACGTTCGCAAACGAATCTCGCTCAGCAACCGGCAAACAATGGCGGATGACGAAGTTCAGGCCTTGGTTGTGGACAATGGGTCGGGAATGTGCAAGGCCGGTTTCGCCGGAGACGATGCACCACGCGCCGTGTTCCCCTCCATCGTCGGCAGACCACGCCACCAAGTGAGTTCGAGGCAACTTATTGGAATTCTGGCTCACCGGTTGGTGAACTAAAATATTTTAACAGCTTAATTACTTGCTATAATGTCATATTTATTGCGTAGATTGTGCATGGTGAATTTCATACTGACTTAACTATCTCAAATGTAAAAACGAATGCACATTTCACGCTTCCTACTACCCACCAACAAACAGGGTGTGATGGTCGGCATGGGCCAGAAGGACAGCTACGTTGGTGACGAGGCACAGTCGAAACGGGGCATCCTCACACTGAAGTACCCGATCGAACACGGAATCGTGACGAATTGGGACGATATGGAGAAGATCTGGCATCACACATTCTACAACGAACTGCGTGTGGCCCCGGAGGAACACCCCGTGCTCCTCACGGAAGCACCGCTGAACCCGAAGGCCAATCGTGAGAAGATGACTCAAATCATGTTCGAGACATTCAACACACCCGCTATGTATGTGGGTATCCAGGCGGTGTTGTCACTGTACGCATCTGGTCGTACGACGGGAATAGTGTTGGATTCAGGTGACGGTGTCACTCACACCGTGCCCATTTACGAGGGATACGCTCTGCCGCACGCCATCCTGCGTCTCGATTTGGCAGGACGCGATCTCACGGATTACCTGATGAAAATCCTCACCGAGCGTGGTTACAGTTTCACGACGACGGCGGAACGTGAGATCGTGCGTGATATCAAGGAGAAATTGTGCTACGTGGCTCTGGACTTTGAGCAGGAGATGGCCACTGCGGCGTCTAGTTCGTCGTTGGAGAAGAGTTACGAATTGCCTGATGGTCAGGTGATCACGATCGGGAACGAGCGATTCCGTTGTCCGGAGGCGTTGTTCCAACCGAGCTTCCTGGGTATGGAGTCCGCTGGTGTGCATGAGACCACGTTCAACTCGATCATGAAATGTGACGTGGACATTCGCAAGGATTTGTATGCGAATACGGTGATGTCAGGTGGGACGACCATGTTCCCTGGAATTGCGGATCGTATGCAGAAGGAGATCACTGCTCTGGCTCCGAGTACCATGAAGATCAAGATAGTGGCGCCTCCGGAGCGCAAGTACTCTGTGTGGATTGGTGGTTCCATTTTGGCGTCGTTGTCCACGTTCCAGCAGATGTGGATCTCGAAGCAGGAGTATGATGAATCTGGTCCTGGTATTGTTCACCGCAAGTGCTTCTAAGAAAACTGTTTGATCGCTACCTGGCATGCTTTCCGTCCCCCTACGAGTCTTCTTTTCATAATATAATTTGCAATCTCTGTACCTCTGCTTTTGTTGGATGTGGGTTTTACACTGTATACACTCGCAGTTTTCGTGGGATGTCTTATAATCCTTGTCACGTACCAAGCTCTTAGTTTGCATAGGTAGTAATTTTTCTGCACAGTGGTTTGGATTCTTATGTTCAGCGTTTGTTTGCTTGTCTGCATGGAAGTTAGGTGCCTTTATAAGTGGAGTTTTTCAATGTTCCCGTGGTTAGTACCTGCTGCATCGAACTGTCCTCAGCCTGTAGTATTTTGTGCATATTGCGTCTCTGCATTTTAGGAGATGGAAGGCACATCTTACCGACGCTACCATCTGATAGTTATTGTTCAGGGAACATTAGAACGTTGGCTCATCTGGCTTTCCTCTGTTGACGTCGAACCATTCTCGTTGGTGTTTCTTTAGAATTTCGATCATTGTCATGAAACGGCCCTAGATCATAAGCATGTCATCCGTATGGGCACATACTTTCCCTTATGATATGTAGTCACGAATTGGAGTACTGAATGCGAGGCTGAACTTGTACATCCACTTCAACACGGCTCTCGCAAGACTCACTCATGAATGACCATTCTGCTAGTTCTACGGATGCTGTAGATCGGGTACATACAATGGACCTGCTGTTTGCTTACTTCCTCGACGCTTTCGACACCGCAACACCTTTTCGCCTCTCACTTCGGTCTTTTGGCATGCCAGAGCGTACAGTTGAATGAAAGGGAGAGAGAGGTGAGATCTAGTCGGTCCTTAGTGGAATTCCCCAGTAGTTTGTGTCCGGCCCATCGTTTTTTCTGTACCCAAATTCAGCTGCCAGAAATACTGGAGGTTTGGTCTCATGATTGCAGAGGAATTGACCATTTGGTATATAGTGTGTGATTCTGATGGTCCTCAGGTTTTACACCGAGTTCTTGGCAAACTTTGGGTTGGTCTACTGTCTCGCACATGCCCATGCATTGCACTAAGTATTTGGTTTTACGCTTAGGATCAAATGTCCCGCAAACACGTTACCTGCTTAGTAGAAATGGGTCACAGCATGTTTCCCTACTGATAGACCAAAGGAGCATGCTGTCAACAGAGTTCAAGTCCGGTGAGAACCGGAGGAGAGCCACGTGAAAAGTGTTCGGGACGCCATGGAGGATCCACTAGTTATTCGGAATCATCACGGCAGATAGGTTATTTTTAGGTTATTCTCAGCCTATGTTAGGCCGCACTTAGAAACGATGTCCGCGTTTGTTCACCTTGCTTAGTAAGGGACAAGATGTTATTAGTGTTGTGGGTCAGTACCGAAATGGTTCATGGGCTACGGTGGCTAGCGTATCCAGAAAGACTACTTAAAGTGAGGGTTTTTCTGAGTATTTTCAGCTCATTGTAGTCGCCGTCGTGGTGTTTTCCTTTTGATCTTTCGCATACTGACCCGGAAACCGGGCCTGATTTATCTTGAATTTTCTAGCCAGCTCAGGCCCCATCTCTCTGGGGTCACTCGTTGAGGTTACATAAATCTTGTTCTGATGGAGTTTGAACGGGCATTCGTCTAGCATAGAGGGCAGTAGATTCCCGGGAGGCGCTGCCTGAGGACGTGATTTTGTTGTCAGCGACGAAAGAGTTCAAACATCTAGTTGACACCCTTGGCCTTCAGCACAAGTTCAGGTGGGACTGGAACGATAAGAGCATCCCATGGATGCTCCTTCTTTAGCGGATCGTTGAGCCAGGAACTGACATGGTGCTGGGAGGTCTAGATGGACATAAACCGGAACACCCGTAACAATCCCATGGTCAACAAGTTTTGCTCACGCTTCCCGCACTAGCGGTCAGGTGAGGTATGCAAAAGATAAGAACAGAAGACGAGAGTGCGGAATATGGAAGTTCACTTGAGATCGGCTAATACCAATGCATGAAGGAAAGTAAAGAAGAGAAAATCAAAGTATGAAACTGGGAGTTGGTCAGAAAATGTGGAAAGGTTTCGTGTTGCCACCAAAGAGCGTCAAGTTGACGCTCGAGCCCCTTAACCGCAGATTCTTTGAGAATTTCCGGAAGCATGTTCCAGCGCTCGATGTATCGGCTTGACAACCTTATATGAACATTGGAACATTGTATAATTCCGGTTCGCACACTGTTTTTGGTATTCGTCAGAGGACACCGCCTGTTTGGTTGTTAGGCCATCGAAACGTTGCTAATAATCAAGAACAAGAGACCGAAGGCAAACAGTTGTTTTTGATGAATTCATCGTCAGACATTTACAATCATGGGTACAATAGCAATGGGCGTAATAGGGGATTTAATCAGTTCAAATGAAATTAGACCATGTGGCGACCAGGGGCATAAACCATCAACAAACGTAAACGATAAGCGCAAACTAGGGTAAAGGTGTCGTCGAACGATTGTTCCTGACCTCAGAATCGTCCGTTTTATCTGACCAGGGTAGCTTAAGAGCTTCGTTAGTTTCTTTTGTAAACACAAAAGCTGTTGATGCAACGGAATACTGATCACCTCGGCTGTAGCGAGGGTGCTGAGGCGTAGTCCTTTCGACTGGAGTGGACGAACCTTGTATTACAAAGGCACGGCTTGGGTCGAGTTCATGCCCACTATCAACCAGAGGAGCCATAACAGTTCTAGTTATAGCCCCGGTACCAGGGCTCATCTGGTTAATAGTGGGCATGAAGTCGACCCAAGCTACGCTTTTCTAATATTATATAAGATTCATCCGGGAGGTGATTGCGGTTGCTGGATAGGGCTGGAAGACACGACGAGGTAGAAAAGGTAAAACTTTTCAGAAGGCGCATGAAACGACTGACGATACAGTTGGCACCGATCGGTTGTCCTCGATCACCTGGTTGGAAGTTTAGTGCTTCTGAGTGCCGCTGGTTGGAGACACTAGAAGTCATGGCTCAAAATCGACATCCATAGCCGACGTGCATCTCTGCGTGTTGCGGTGATTTCCCTTCCATAATAAAATAAACAAATACTTAACGTACATACAATGTCAAAAGAGACGGTGAGTGAAATGGAAGTAATAAGCTGCATCTTATGCTTATTCCTACCTTGTTTTCTTATTCCGCCAAGTTCCAGACTATATATATATATGTATATGTATATATATATATATATATATATATATATATATATATATATATATATATATATAAATTCGGGTTTACACTGGAAAAGTTGTGTGTATGGAGCTGTGGATCAACGGTCAACGGTATATTGCGGATTAGAAAGCCGAATCTTGACGTGTCCCACGGGAAGATCGGTTAGGGGTGATCAAAATAAAGGCAAAATGGCAATAAGGATATAGTGAACAACTGCAAATTGCGAACTTGCCGATTACAGCTTTCTCGTCCGTTTTATGTACCATCCAAGATTATCGTCTGTGGTTTCCTGGCAAAAATGCGGGTGGATTGGTTTGCTTTTGTTTTTCCGCTGTTTGGTTGAGTCGTTTGGATTACGTGATATAGTGTGGTGTGGCCAGTGCACTGTCGACACGTGCTTGAACACGGCTAACGTGGGGGCTGAGATAACAACTTCTGATAGTGTATTCCACGTGTGGCAAACGTGCAGCAAGAAGTTTCTTCGGCACTCCAACCGAATTTATTGTTCTGTCAATTTGAGATGATGACCTCGTAGTTGGCTGTTGTGCCTCAGCTTCAATAGGTGATGACATGGGTGCATCGCATGCCTCCTATGGTCCCTCTGTAGGCGCAGAATTCCCTTGGCTGTCAAATAGAGACAACAGTGACAAGCAAATTCGGCACCGGATGCTGATAAGCATATATTGCGCCAACGGAAAACGAACTGCTACGGTATTCCAAGTGGCATTACTGTACCTTCAGCTACATGAATTAGACGTAGGCGGATATGTTCTGAGGTACAGCAAAGAACGCGCAGATGATTTGAACTATGCAGGATCAGGGAAACGATTAGTATGTTACCTGAATAATCCCGAACGCTCCAAGCGCTGGTTATATGGAGAATACGCATTCCCACAACTTAATTAGGCTACTGACGGTGTTGCCAGGCTTTTACTGAGTAGTTCACATGAGGACGAACGCAAACACTATAAATCCTAAAGCATTGCATCCCCTGTATCTGTCTGAACAAGATTGTAAGAAGACGAGCACTGCCAAATGGCACATTTCGTGTTATCTGTTCACTTGCAAACGAACAACCTATATAGGTCTAGTGAGAGAAGAAAATGCTCGTCTTGAACTGACTCAGAAAGGAGAGTACGCCTACGCGAATCAACCGATGGCTGAGCTGTGGCGAAGATCACGAACCCCAACGAAGGTTTAGGCTAAGCATCAGTTGCTTCGGTGTAAAAAGCGGAGGACGGCACCGATTAAGGGTCACTGTCCCGGCAAACTTATACACCCCGGTGTTACCGTATTCTAGAATGTATGAGAACTTCAACAACTTTACGCCCGTCCGATACGCTTTGCCTTTTCAAGGAGCTGCTTATTCGAGCCTGTAGAAGATACAGTACCGAGTGTGTGGAGTTGAAATTGTTGTTCATCACACAGACATTGCGGGCCAGTGGATATCCAGAAGCATTCATTAGATTCCACAATCGTCCGGACGAAAACAAGTCAAGAGTACTGACTGTGCTCATAACACCTGTTTACCTGCAGTTACCAATAATGGGTAATGTCTTGACGGCGCAACTTCAAAGACGGGTGAACTCAACTATCCGCCGTACATGTAACGTTGCCAAACTGTCTTATTTTTATCAGAAACCTACCGACCCCTCCAGTCAAACCCAATCAGCCAGTCTCCGTCATAACGCATTGCGTTTATAAAGTCGTCTGTAGCTGCAGAAGCAATTACTTTGGCAGAACAAATCATTATATAAGTAAGCGGACCGGAGAGCCTATTCTAATGCGGATTGCTAAGAAGACGGCATAACAAGCAAGCGGAAGATCAGCAAGCCACCAATGCCTCCAGCAAACCTACTCAACCGGTCTACACTATAATTAACTTGAAAATTCCCATTTAAGTCTCGAAAACGAAAA